GAAATGTATGCAAAAGAGACAATAAATGAATTATTATTATTATTATTAATGTCAATCTGACGTTTGACGTTTGTGTCTGTTGAAGTTTGAAATGGGGATGTTTCCTAATTTTTGGAATGGCTCTTATTATGTAGATAAACCGTATCTAAACATGAAAAAAAATATAATAAAATCATATACGCAACATTTCATTACAAAAACACTTAACTAAAAACAACTTCTCCAAAGACCGCGAAAACGCCTCATGACGTCACTTTCTTGCTTACAAACCTCGCGTCGCGGTCTGTCAAAGTCAAATTTCTAAAACAGACATCTTGAATTTTGATAGTTATTATAACAAAATGTATTTTTGATTAATTATTGTTGTAAATAAAAAGAAGCATATTACAATACGTATGCAGTGTCAATTGTAAAAGTACGACAGTCAGCATAGGTCCAATAAAATCAAAATAAATAGCAAAACATTTAATATTTGCTGGAAGACATCCATCGGCATTGAAAATAACAAGTACTAGTTATTATGTAAAAACTAAAGTAAGATCTGATAAGTTACAAATAGAAATATAACAGTGTTTTGGTTATGTGGCAAAAATTTTACTTGTCACCTGTTTTAGTAATCTCGATAAATTGTTTGATATAATAAAAATTTTAGCTTTAAAACCGTGATATACAAGATTTTTCAATGGGTATAGTAGTATATGTCGTAAGGATGAGACCTGCTTGTTTATCTACAGTTTACTCCCAATGACCAAGTGCCTGTACTTTAACTTATAATAAACTAATGAATGCAAAAAGAAAAGGACTGGCAAATTAATCTAGAGATGAAATCAGCAGAGTGAAGGTTGAAAGATTCAAGTTTATACAAGGAGAGTAATGAAAGACATAAAATAGTTTTAAGTCACTCTCTTGCAACAATATTTTTTATGTTTGATTCATTGCTTGCTTGTCACCTAACAAATTTGCTAAACTTGTTAATAAGCAGTTTACTATCTGAGGAAGTGTAAAACAGGAAATAAAACACTACCATACTAATAATTTGTTTTTTTTTCTATTGCTAATAAAAAGATCATAAAATAGTTTTAGCATATTTTTACTAATGTTACAACTTTATTAAGATTTGTATGGGTTATGTTAAAGTAGCAATTTCTGTCCCGGTAACATGCTTCAGTATTTGTAAATTATTTTAAATCTTCCGTTCTGAATGTAGTTTTTCATGGTCTCTTCATGGAACAGGCATTTACAATATAAATATTATCATCACTTTTTTAACAGCACATAAGGCATCATCACCATGGATATCTTGAGGTTCTAGAATATATAAAATAGAACTATTAACACACTTCTAATACTTTTTCCATGACCACGGTTTTATTTCTTTGATATTAACAACATGTAGTACTAAATATAACCAATATTTGAACTAAATAATGCATTGACTTCTTGTAACATAGCTTATTTATACTAGTTATTTAGCCATACTAATATTATATATAATATTTGTAACTTATCTTCACATGTTCCACAGCTCCGGTACACGTAAATACTTGTTTCTAGTAAAATAATTTGTCACCAACAAGAAATCTATCTTCGTTTAGTTCCTTTGATGAATTTTCCATTATGTTAAATCTTTTATCGATAACACGAAATTTTGAAGAGAAGGTTATACTTTCAACATATTATATATTTATTGTTGCTTGTGG